GAAGACGGATGGCTTTGTACGGTGGCTTGCGGGCCTGCGCGGCGAGTACGAACGGCGCATGAACACTATGTGCAACATTCTCGAGGAGAATGCCTACCAGCTGAAGCAATCGACGCCCATACGTGACGCCGACGCCGAATGGGGCGTCATCACGAAGACCAAGCTCTACGAGTTCGACTGGCCGCGCGGCGGCATGTTCCTGTGGCTGAGAATCTACCTCGAGCGTCATCCCCTGTTCGGCGCGACGGGGTCCCGGGGCAACGTGATCGACGGGCCGGCGCTCTCGACTGCCCTCATGATCTTCCTGACACACAAGCCACATCTCGTCCTCGCCAGTCCGGGCACCATGTACAGCGCCACCCCGGAGATCGCCACCCAGCGGGGTTGGGCCTACTTCCGGCTGTGCTTTGCCGCCGAGTCGGACGAGATGATCAGGGCGTGCTCGATCCGCTTTGGGGAGGGTGTGCAGAAGTACTTCCGCCTTAAGAAAATTGCGGACATCGAGGCCCTCCTGGACGAAGCGGCTACGGACCAGGCCTACGAGGTTGAGGGCCTGACGAACATGGGCTGGATGGGCTGCTAAGCGGTTCGATCGGGGCACATTTGGACATAACTTAGCTGTATATACGATACATAACCCGACCTATGGAAACAAGGTTGATAGATGCTATAGATTCTAGGCTAGATCATCTTTCTCTCAATGATCTTACAATATATTGCGTATTCCTTAGTATATGACGCTCATCATTTGCCTAAGCCGGCATTATTCATGAACTTTCAGCTAATCCATTGGTATCTACGCTGGAAAGATAGGCTGATGCATTTAATACTGAGCCGTTTAACAGGTATGATAGTTACTTGCGGCTCGTAGGCTCAGGTATCTCATATCACTCGGTCGACTCTAGGAAGAATTTCAAAAGGATATGAACCATGTTAGGACGAATGCCTACGGGTCAGGCCTTAAGTCGGCAGTGGTGTAACTATGCCGGAAGCACCCGCCTGAGCTGAGAAAAGAAAAAAAGAACTCTACCTCGATACTCATGGGCATGTACATTAGCTACAGATTGAAAGGGAAAAGCTTCACAGATTATAGTGCTTCTACGGTCAAAATTGAGGGCAAGACGAAGACAGGTTATGGGCGGTGGATTGTTTATAATGATAATGACAATTCCATTGATTCATGAGACCCTACGAACCCATTACGCCCATGATACTCGCAACCGATACTATCTTATCCGTTTTTTTTTTCCCTTAGACAAGCTGCTCACCAAGCTGGTCTGACTTAGTCCTCCTTGAGAACGTTCATGAAAGTCTCAGGGGTCTTGGGGGCCTTGCCAGCCTCCTTCTTCTGCTGGCCGAGTCCTTTGCTGACGAACGTCGAGTGGTAGGGGTTGAAGCGCAGCATTACCTGCTTGTTGCGTAGAGGGTTCTTCTGAACACCGGCGCGCTTGGTAAGCGAGGTGCCCTTGGGAGCACGTAGGACACTCTGGATTTCAGAACTGTTGATCAGACGGCTCAAGTCGGCCTGGGCAACAAGGTTGGAGGGCAGCAGGAAGTCCTTCTTGAGCTCAGAAGGTGTGGTGGTGGAGCCGTAGATGCTGTCCAGAGCCTTGAAAGCGGCCGAGGTCCAGATGATGAAACGGCCGAGGTGACCACCGGGAGCCAACTGAAGAAGGTTGAGGGCGTACACAGAGCAGGTCTCAACGCCCGGCAGGTTGCGGGTTCCCTTGACAAGTTCCGTGCCATCGGCTTCCGGGTCGTAGATGACTAGGGGTCCACGTCTTTGACGGTGGCGACGACCTCGCAGCTTTCCCTTTCCGGCCCTCAGCTTCTTCGACTTTTTGGCCTTGATAATGTCGGCAGATGCGCCAATAGCAGATAGGATGGCGAATGCATTGGCAGTCTTGGCAGCAGCGGCTCCCTCGAAAGCAGCGGAATCGACAACGAGGGGAACCTCGGGGACGCTTGAGATCTGGTGACCACGGGCAAGAAGCAGAGGAGCAACGGCGGAGGCGGCAACGGCAGAGGCAGTAGCGAATCGCCTTCTTTTTGTTAGCGTAATTCTGGGCCTGAGAGTGCCCTATGGGATCGACTCACTTCTGGCCCTGGTTGATCTTGATGTGCCACTTGCGCCAGATCTTGGTGGGGGCGAACATGCGACCGGATCGGCACATGTTACCAAAGGCGGCCTGGCCGGCACGGTGAGTACCACCACCAGACACACGAGGGATACGTGCAACAGCACGACCTGAGCATCAATGTCAGCAGCTAATTCTCAATCGATGGCGAACTCATATTGTCCCAGTCGTGTACGAGTATTCATTCAACCATGTAGATTTGAGGTTTGACGACTTCGAGCTTTTCAGGCGATATGGGGCGACTAACCAGTTCCCCAAGATTCAGCGGAGGTTTGGTGACCGGCCTTCTCGCTCACAGCATACGGCTGGCGCTTGTTCTTGGCCATGCCGGTGTGGACCTGCTGGACGATATCGGGTCGGATGGGAGAGGCAAATACGGCGGGGATGGGATGGGTAGCTCCCGAAGGAGTACCATCTTTGCCGATGATGGTGACAGTCGGTCTCGAGGCCATCGTGAAAGTCGCTGGGCTGTATCAAACCTGTTAATACTGAAAAAAACGAATAGCAAAGGATATGCAAACCAGGTGGAAGACCAGTTATGTGGTATGACGAGCACACGTACCTCGACTTGTTGGGTGGATGGTCTAGAGAAATTCGGCTGGTGATAGATTCTCAGGTCGAAAATTGAGGGTTGAAGGCAGGTCCGCAAATTATTTTTCTTTGTGGGAGTGGAGGGCTAATTGATTCGTCTCACGGCTATGGGCAGCTGGCAGATGCCCCTCTCAGGCCGTTGTTGGATGCCAGGGCTAACTTGGCCGGTAGAACCCACACCGGTAGCGCTGATGTACTTATGTAGTGTACAGTGTTCAAGAATCACCATTACTGTGCGTGACCGTCACCGTGTAACTACTTCGTACTAGGTGAGTGATAGGTATTATTACTAGGTAAGTAACGGATGTATGAATTACGGGAGTATTCGTACCTGGTAGGTATGTAGCCGTTTGATTTGACGGCAAATGAAGCGGTACGGAGCGTATTTACGGATTAAATACCTAGGTATAGACACGGGCAACGGTCAACTGAGTTCAACTCTGAGTTGCCAAACGTACCACTGCAACTTCGAATTCTGCCTCTTGTGTATCCCCGCTTACTCATGCTCATCCAACGTGCTATGGACGATGGACCACTGGGCTTGTTGTCAATAACTCTTCAACGATGAGATGTAAAAGCCTATGCTAGTGTCCGACCAATATTTACCACAAAGGCACTCAAGCTTTTACCACATGCTCCCGTTCGAATATAATCCACGGAGACATCCTGAACACATGATTGGTCATTCATTCATATAGACGCCAACTACCATAATAACTTTCATCTACCAGAAAAAGCGAAGCATATTGCCTTATTCGCAGCATATCATCCATGACGACGTGCCGTCGAAGTCGTCTCAGGATTGAGTGAATCTTCGGCTTCCGCACGATTGGCCGGATTCCAACTAGAAGCCGTGAACCTTGATCTTCTTCGGGTCAAGCTCCAGGCCGTCTTTGGCAACCAGGAATTCCTCTGCACAATGTTAGCCTGATACCTCTCGCCGGCTGCATCACACGAGAAAACACGCACGCATGACCTTGCGCTGATCACCCTGCAGTTGAATGACTTCACCCATGTTACTGTCCATCACAACAGTGCCATTGCAAGCGAATTTCTTCTTGATGACGGTGAGAATCTTCTTTCGGTCAAATTTGTTAGGCAACCCCTGAACGGTGGTTAGGGTTTTGCGGCCATTGCGTTCTGCCTAGGTCAGTCGCACCACTCAAGGAGGCGAGTAGAGAGATGCAGTGGAGAGTGGTGAGAGGAGGCCGGAGACTGACGTTGAATCCGAATGTGCACGTAGTCTTCTTGCTGACTCTTCACTTGGCTCGTGTCTTCTTCTGCTTCAGCATCATGAAAGGGATCTAGGGCGCATATTAGCGGAGGCTTGAAGAGGGTAGGTAAGCTGTGTTCCCAAAGGCCGAGGCTTAAGTACCTACCGAAGGATTTGAGGTTCTCGATGGACATCTATAAAAGTGGGCTACGGAAAACCGGAGTATATTCGGAGGATGTATAGGTATATATGTGGCTGCCTCAACGGCGCAATAGTGGTAGCAAAGCAGGTTTCCTCAGGGCTTGGGCGATGTTGGGATGAGTTTGCTGCTGCTGGCAGTGCAGTGGATGGTTGCGAGTTCTCGAAGTCGAGTTGTCCGGGGCCGGCTCGGCTTTACTAACTAGGTACTTTGTAGAGTGCGAAAGGGCGGGGTTACATTTCGATAAGGGAGGCCCCACCGAACCGCCTCCTGACACTGGATGATCCAGACGAGAGACGAGGAAATTATCATTATCAATTGTGCCGAAGTTTATTCAGTTGTATGAATCATCGAAGGCGCGAAGTATCCGTTTCCGACGAGATTTGGGGTTAGCAGGTAGGAGAACAATGTCGAACTTGCACTATCATGAATTTCGGTGATTGATGAAGACCTTTCCCTGATGACGAAAAGAGACACCTAAAGTAAGCTTGACCGTGTACCTACCTAGACTACAATCCGTGCCTTACCAAGGCACTAACCTTAAGTAGGTAGGTAGACTAGATAAAGTGTACTTCCAAGTCGTAAGTCGTAGGGCTAGGTACATCAGGTGGTTGCGACCAAAACCCCGGTCACAGAACACCAAGATCCACTATCACAGTGTGCAGCCGGACTTCGCAACCGTCTCAAGACGAACCCGCACCACACACATGGATGTAACTACATCGGTACGTAGGTAGGTGGGTTAGGGCTACCGTTGGCAGTGGCTACCTGTGTCTAAGGTAGGTATCTAGTGCGCACCTTCTGACGACTCACGAGTGTGTGCAGAGTCATGGTACGATTATCATTGCCATTTCACTAATCCGAATTGGTGTAGTGGCTAACATTTGACGCTCTCATCCTCGTCCTTGCAGACGTAACTGGCACCGTCAAGCCCGGGGTTCGATTCCCCGATTCGGAGTTTCTGTCTAGTCAATTCTTTTAAGAACTTCTTTTTTTTTTTTTGGTCTTCACAACGCTTCATTCTCCTCCACCTTACTACACTACACCTGCTAGGTAGTGTAAATATCTACCTACCTATTTGCCTCAAAGAACAAAGTCGGCAAAGCAAAAGCAATCAACATGGCCTTATCGGCTTTTCCCTCATATGTTAGGTATGTGTCTATCCTCCATCCAGAGAAGGTTCAAACCGCTATGATGAGAGAGCTTACCGTGGTAGAAAGACAGACAATGAGTCTCTAACTACCGGTAGAGAATCGTGCCAACTATTATTAACCTGTACACGCACATGACGCGAGCGCCTTTGGTCCAGAAAGCGTCTTGGGTATGCGGATGACCATGTGGTCCATATGATCGATTGATTCTCAGACCGATGAAAGGCCGCCCATGGGTACCGGTATATTGACCAGACACCATGCGGCCAGTTGCCTGCGTGGCACGCATGGGATCGAGACACTCCAGTGCCCCCCGGGCGTAAAATTTACCGACAATTCATTTCACAACATTTCTTCTACCTATGAGTACATCGATCGATCTATGTATGCTTCAAATAACTTACTCACAGCCGGAACTTTCCACCGACCTAGGCTGCAGTATATGTAATGTATACTTACTTATGGCATCCAAGGTGCTAACTAACGCGCCGCCTAGGTCTAGGTCTAGGTCTACGTCTACTATGTAGGCCAAGGTCGTGCCAAGGTGTGCAGGAGATATCGCCTACCATGCGCACCCGAGTTCCAGTCACAGTGGATTGCTAACGGCGACCCGGCACATTTACGCGGGGCAAGCAGACCAAGCGCATGCCCTACAGGAGTGACTATTGCGACAGAGCGATGTAGCAGACGACGAGTCTAGATGTATCGCGGGTTGCAGCACCTGGACTTGTAGGGTTTGATACTACCCACCGGTATACCTACGAAGTTCCCGAACCTGGTATGCTGTAACCTTGGTGCATGTCAGGAACTAGTAATGTTCTTCCGAGACAGTTGATTAATCTTGCCCCTTTCATGGCCCCCTCGGGCCTCGTCCCGGACATCCGGGGATAACATTGTTGCGTCGCGGATGCTTTTTGTCATGAATCTTTCTTGGGATTGAAAGGGACACGATTGTTGAGAAGTGCTTTTCTCGTCGCCTGACTGACTACAGACTACAAATACTACCAACCTACCTGGTTCAGCATCGGTCAGTCACCCACACGGATCAGACTGGTACCAGGTCGAACGGCTTACGATATCATACTCGCCTTCCAGCGTAGCGTGGGCCCTTCAAAAACATCACGCGTACACGCCACACGGGCCTGTCTCTTGAAGACCACATGGCAGTCACAGCGTAGGGACGGACCCTGACAGTTAGCTCTTCATTCATGATGGTTGAGACGAGCTGTTGCGTTATGCGTATTCCTGATCCAGACAGTCGTTAAATGGAGTCTCAGCCGCTGCCGATGCCGAGGACAATGCTCAATGATCATTTCGTTTCGTGGAAATGAGTAGAAAGTCGCCTTACAGATGAGCAATTCGACTAAAGGACCCAGGATCGGTGAACCTATTGGAATCCAGGAAACTCTCCCTTCAAGGAGATGTTATATGCGGCGTTGCCAACGGTCGCTTTGTGAACTTTGGAAATCACACCTGTGGATTTGAACCGAGGCAGAGAGGCGTGGACTGTATCCAGGTACATATTACGTCTACAACCTGTCCAAACGGAGTGTGCAGGTACATCACAATGTATCGTCGCCCTCGGTTCCATCCCATATTGTCAGGCTTGCATTAGACTATCTAATCTAGCCCTCAGCGGCTGTGCGGCTGGAACCGTATTCGGAGGCATTATGGATCGGAATCACCCAATCCTACCTATGGAATCTATGGAATCTATCTGTCGATTCTCGTATTACTCCTCTGCCGGGTAGTATACATTATTACATATTGCAGTCTGTACTTCCATAGTGATACCCAACCAGGGACCTACCAGGGGCCTACCAGGGGCCTACCAGCTCATCTTGGCTGGCAATATTTTCACCCAACAATTCTAGATCGAGGGTCACGGTCGAAGAAGGGCAGAGGAGGTGCACGTCAATTACAAGATGTTAAAATGACCTGCCATATACTATAGGGAATATAAAAGCCATCAGTCTCCGTCCTACCTCGTGCCGTGCCATTCACGATGACTTCCCTATCTTGCATCCGTCTCTCTTTGATTTGATCCGGCGAGACTGGGCGTGGTAGATAGATACCTCACATGGTCGTCCCCCACTACTACAGCAAATACTACCGCTTCAGCATCCGGTTGCTAGCTCCTAGCTCATTTTTCGTATAGGCTCTCACCATGCGATGGACCACGCATTTCTTGCCGGCGGTGCTCTCGGCTGGCACGCTGGCAAGAGCAGACCCAACGTGGCCCTCTCAGATCGACGAGTTAGAAGAGATCATGTATCAGGTTCAAGGCTACCGCTCCCGGCAGTTCGGCGGAACCGTGATACCCTGTTCAAGCGAAGCTTCGGGGCCGGGACGTCACAATGCGGCAGAATGGCTACGATCTGCCTTCCACGACATGGCGACCTCGACCATTGCCGGTGGTCCACGAAAGGGCGGCATGGATGGGTCCTTGCAATTCGAACTGGCAAGCTTAGACAACATTGGCTCGGCGTTCAACTCGACGCTCAGGTTCATGGCCGACTACTACACAAGCAAATCGAGCGTGGCTGATCTTCTTGCTCTCGGTGTCTACTACGCCGTAAGATCCTGCGGTGGGCCTGCCGTTCCCATTGCCGCTGGTAGGATCGATGCCAAAGCCGGCGGCCCTATAGGTGTCCCACTGCCACAGAATTCAGCATTCACGTTTCTCCAACAGTTTGAGCGCATGGGCTTCAACCAGACGGAAATGATTCAAGCCGTTGCATGTGGGCACTCTATCGGCGGCGTTCACGACACCAATTTCCCCCAAATCGTTCCGCTGGGCAGCACAGCAGATGGGGAAGCGCCTACGGATTCCACGGTGGATGTGTTCGACAACAAAGTTGTCACTGAATACATCTCCGGCAATACATCGAATCCCCTGGTCGTCGGGCCATCGATCAAAGCTACGAGGAACTCGGATTTCAAAGTCTTCAACTCGGACGGAAATGTGACAGTGGCCGGCATGGCGGATACTGAAACTTACAACAGTATTTGCGCCAGGGTTCTGCGCAAGATGATCGAGGTCGTTCCCGATGGCGTCGTCCTTACGGATCCCATTGAGCCCTACGCAGTCAAACCGGTTGACATGCAGCTCACATTGAACCCGGGAGCTTCCACATTGCAGCTATCAGGCGTGATCCGAGTTCGCACCACTGACTTCGGATCCGATGCCCCCAAGAGCGTCCTGTTGACTTACAAGGACAGAAATGGTGGCAATACGTGTGGCCAGTCAGGCTGCACGTATACAGCAGACCTCCTAGGTGCTACCCAAGGCTTCGATGATACCTTTGTGGTGAGTGCCAGATTCTTAACCTAGATCCTTCTCAGTTCCCCTCCTCATTCTAACACATATTTTAGTGGTTCCCTATCAATGCCCAGATCCCGGCGTCCTCGGGCATCTCTTCTTTCACTCTGGCAGTCAATATGAACAGTGGAATATCCACAGTTTATGACAACAATGGAAATTCGTACCCTATGAAGGATGATATCTTCGTGCAGAAGCCTCAGAGCTGTCTTCTTGATGGCAACTTGACCGTGATGGCAGCTGTAAGTTATAATTGTAGGCATCTGGTTAGTCTCAAGACACTGATGTTGAGAAACAGGTTCGGAATGACCTTACGGCGCAGTCGGTCAATTTGCATATCTCGTACAAGACAGCTTTTGCGGACCCAAATCGACCGATTCCTCAGTTGAATAATGCCACGATGGATATGGTAAAGGTTGCCTGTGCAGACCTTTACACCTTCTATTCGGCTAGATACTCGGGTCTTGGCGACCTCGCTCATGCTACTAAGATTGACGTTGTTAGCGGGAGCGGCGCAGCCGCTTCACGAGACGATTTCAAGGCAGCAAGCGACGTTGCGGCAACTTGTCCTGCTTTCGACTATCCGCCGAATGGTCTCTGTTCTCGTGGAGACGAACCTCCACCACCAGTGGAAACCTCGTCTACTATAACACCGACGGTGACCTCGTCGGAAACAGCGACACTGACAGGAACAGTGACGAGCACGTCGGCGGTGGGAACCCCGTATCTCAGGAAAAACGTGGGCAACTACACATTAGTAGGCTGCAATACGGAGCCGACAGCTATCGGAGTCCGCGCTCTGTCTGGTGCCAGTTTTGCTTATGACGGGATGACACTCGAAAGTTGTATGGGTAACTGTACAGGGTCTTATTATTGGGGTACAGAATATGGACGCGAATGTTACTGCGGTGATAAGATTAACCCGGGCAGCTCAAATGTCACGCTTTCAGAGTGTAGCATGGTTTGCTCTGGAGACAGCACAGAGTACTGCGGCGCCGGTGACAGGCTTGAACTATACGTTACCACGGGAATCATCCCAACGCCCACCGGAACTCTAGCGATCAAACCGACTGTACAGCCATACGAACGTATCGGCTGTTACGAGGAGCTCCCTACTCGAGCACTCACTGGAGGAGACCTCGCGAGTGACTCCATGACTCTTGAGCTATGCGCAAAAGACTGTTCTGGATTTACTTATTTCGCCACAGAATATAGTCGTGAATGCTACTGTGGCAATTCCATCGACCCCAGGAGCAACGTGACCGCCGATGCGGACTGCAACATGGCCTGTGTAGGTGACCAGACCGAATACTGCGGCGGGAGCAACAGACTCGAGTTGTATCGACTAATTCACCCACCGACGTCAACCTTAGTGATCCCGACGCCTACCATTACCCCCACGAACAAACCCACCGTCTCGGCTTACGGCTTCCAGGGTTGCTGGACCGAGGGCGGCGACGGACTGCGTGCGCTCGACGCGGCCGA